TAAAACATTTGAGTACTGAGAAAATTTTAAAATTTATTTGTGTAGCATTGTAATTGAACTTAAAAAAGAGAGTCAATATGAAATGTTATAACATTTATAAATTTAGATTGTATCATACCTTTGGGTGGAAAATATTAAATATGTACTCTTCCATACATGTTTGAAGCCTGAAAGAATTAAACAAATTTAGTACAACATTTAAAACTGAATGTACACGGTGTAGTAAATATTTCGGACACTGATCGTAACCGATCAAACACTGCACTTTCCACTGTAGATAAATGAGGTAGAAAGATTTAATTTCAATAAATCGATTATTAATTAAAATATGCATTCAACCCTTAAAAAATATCGTTATTTTTGTCTTTGTATTTTGACAGTGTATATATGTATGTATCCATATGTGTGCGTGTATATATGTGTGTGTGTCTGTGTGTATAAATATATATACTTACACACACACACACACACATATATATATACATATATATACATACATACATATATATATATATATATATATATATATATATATATATATATATATATATATATATCGTGTGTGTTTGGAGAAATAGATCTAAAGATCTATGTTTCTGGATGTAAAGTAAAAATTTATTCGAACCCAAAAAAGGGAAATTCAACATTTGATATACAAGTTCATATATTTTTATTATATGTATATAATAATTCAGATACTCAAAATAAAGATATTCTAATTACAAACAAATAAATTCGTAGCAAAATAAATTAGATCTAGATCCCTCTGGTGCAAACACTTGATTCAAAAAGGTCAAGAGTCGATCCCAGAAGATTCAAATCCAAATACATAAATAAATATATTTGTATTTTTATATAGATCTAATAATAACATATAAATAAATTTCTAAAAATCATAAGATATAATTATCAAAAATAATTCTAGAATACTTACATCCTTTAGAGTAAATCGGATGAAAAAGTCATGCTTTGTAAAGTGCATGAGATTGTTTTTTACATTAATTCAAACCTGAGCCAAAAAACATCCAAAAAATCGAGAATGAAAGAATACAATAGCAAATAGCCAAACGCACAAACGGGAAAATAATATGGA